ATGGCTCGTGGAATAAACGCTTCCCTGGCAAGCGCGAGGGCCTGAGTTCAATCCCCGGTTCCGCAAAAAAAAAAAAAAAAAAAAAAAAAGCTCAGATCTAGAGCACAGATCCACAAATCCAAAGTAAATAAAAATAATTCCATAGCCAGATGCCTAGTGGTAAAAATGCCGAAGAGCAACACTCAGAGAAGAGAGCTGAGAGGAGAGAGTCCACGTGGGGGAGGAATGCCGCTAGGTGGACAGCCGACTTCTCACCCGCAGCAAGGGGAGGCAGAGGACAGCGGAAACAAGCCTTCAGGGTGAGAGAAAGCCTAGGACGGCCGGCGACACCAATTCTGCACAATGAGGACTAAGTAATGCCGTGTCAGCAAACACTAAAGCTGCGCTGCGGACACACAGGTGGAGAGCTGGGATCCAGGTCTGATCCCAGAAGCAATGCTGTAGTGGGGTAGATTTGGAGGTCTTGCCCACGGGGTTCCTGCCCACCCAGGAGAGGCCTGCGGTGGACTCAATATTTGCTTCTCCTCAGATTCCTCTGTTGCAGCCCCTCCTACAGGCTGACGAAAAGATGGAGGCTAGATGAGGTTGTAGGGTGGTTCATACTCTGCTGGGGTGGTGTCCCTACAGGAACAGGAAACAATGCCTCTGCTTCGTGTGATGCAGCAGGAGGGCAGCTGTCTGCAAGCCAGGGAGAGCGCTTCAGCTCACTGGGAACCAAAGCGCCCAGCGCTTCGACTTGGGCCTTCCGTTCTCCAGAACCATGAGGAGCCCCTCAGCCCATGGCGCTGTGTTGAGGCAGCCTCGGTAGATGGAGGTCAGCCTGCAATTTCTAACAGTTGTCCCAGTTATTCTGGGTACCAGGTGACCCTGCTAAGTGCCCGCCCTAACCTCGAGGGGCTTCCCAAGCTGCACGTGCAGATGCATCTCTTGGGGGTCTTGCTAAGTCCAGACGCTGGTCCAACAGCTTGTGTCGGTCTTGGGTTTCCCAAATGCTACGAAGATCTCAATGCCCACGAACCACACCCAGAAGAGCTTTAAGTATGTGATTCAGAAAAGAGAACAACTGGGTCCTGGGGACTCGTGGGGTAAGGAGCACACAGGCTAGTTGGGGGTGCAGAAGAGGAAATCGCCGCGGGGCGTGTGAAGTCCCATGCTGCCTGCTGGGAGGTGCTCCCTGCCACCACAGCAGGCACGGCCCTCAGCTCCGCAGGGGCTCGGGGCAAGCCTCACTAACACGGGGACAGGAGCAGGATGCTGAGCGCTCTGCCGGCACCCCGCACACCAGGTCGGCCTGTGGCTGAGGCCACACTGCACGCCAGGCCTAGAGCCACCAAGCGGAGCGCTTTGCACCCCAGATTTAAACCCCCAGGGAAGAGGACAGGCTTGTGCCAAATTAAAAGCTGCTCACTTCTCACCATCGCTTCTGGGGATGAGATCTGCCAGGCTGTGGAGGAAGGGGAGGGGGGGAGGAAACGGAAATGCGTCCTGCGTCCTGCACGGGCTCACCTCACCACTGTGAGTTATCCTTGGATCTCCCCAGCTAAAATGAAAATCTGTTTAAAAGCACAAGGTTGTTATTTAAGATGCCTCATGACAGGCCTTGCAATAAAAAGTAACGTGACAGAGAAAGGGGGAACTCCCCAAGTGAGGTCGCTATTGATGCTGGGAAGTGGGGCCCATTACTCGCTACCATTCGCTGTGAAAATGAGGCCCTAAAGTATCTAGGAGGAGGCTGGATGTCACCCAAAGCCACGGACTGCCCTATATGGGTGCAGTCGGCGGTGAACCCGACGACCCCAAGCAGGGCTGTGGGTGGTGCTGATGGTCCCCAGCCCTCAAGTCAGGCTCTCCTGCGTGCACCCCTTCATTTCCATTTTGCAGATAAGGAAGCTGAGGCAGAGCAGTGGCCTACAGGCTGTCCAGGCTCACACAGTTGGGGTTGGAGGAGCTGGAAGCCCTAGCCAGGCCGTGGATGTGGGGCGTTAGCCACGCCGTGCCGCGCCCCTCATGGTCTACACTGTGCAAGCAAGGACCCACTTCAGTGATGCAGGAGACACTCCAGCAGGGCCCGACACATGCTCCTGGGCCAGGTGGTAAGTGCCACAGCGTCTCTGCCTCGCCTGCTCGGCACTTTGCAGCAGCAGCAGCAGCAGCAGCAGGTGGTACATGAATAGATGGGTGTGGCACTGCTCCAATAAAACTTTATTGATACAACAGGCCGGGCCGCAGTTTGCTGACTTCTGCACTAGGCTGTAAATACAGCTGCTTTTCAAAAGATAGCATTGCAGCATGGGTGGGGGCAGGGCACAGTGGAGCAAGCAATGCACACCCCTCCCCCAGCCAGTAGACCTGTAGGTAGTAATGCCTGTCACGGTTCTGGTTGTTCCTGTCTCTTAGAAAGGGCCGGTCACTGTGATGCGCAGCTGGTCACTGTGATGCCCGTTATATAAACCAGGCCCCAAAGGACAAGTGATTTTGCTCCTGTACTTCCCGCTTGCTTATCCTGTCAGCACCCTAGACCACCAGAGATCAGGCCTGGAATGCTGGGAGTGAGCCCAGTTAGTGCCCCTTGACATAGATGAATCAGGCTCCGAATCCTGGGTGTCGTTGGGGTGTTTCTGCTCACCTTTGCAACCGGACTGCGGCTCTTGTAAAAACACTTACATTTCAAAAAAAAATAGTTCATAACTTTTAAAATAATAAGAAATTAAAACAAAAATGTCCGCGATAACCATCAAAAGGATTGAAATACAGAAGCTCCAAGCAAGTTGAAGGAAATGGAGTGAAAAGTCCCAGAGCAGTCCAAAGGAAGCCAAGAATGGGGCAGACAGGTGCCACGGACAAAAGATCGCAGTAGGGAAAAGCTCATCTTAGTCAGGACAGCTATCTCAGACAGACAGACCCCCCACGGCATGGGCGGTGCATACGGAGCCACGCAGTGCCGCCAAACACGCACAGGATGCGAGACAAGGTTTCCAGTGGAAGGAACGTGGAAAACAGAGAGTAAGCAAATGCTGCCGAAAAAACTTTACAAGATAGAATTTAGGGCAAAGAACACTGTTCAGTCAGAAAGTCATCACGTAATGACATCTAGATGGACGGATTTCATCTACCTATCTAAGAATAAAGTTATCTAACAGTCATGAAACAGAGTTTAACATATCTACCTCAAAATTTGTATCCATGTAGTATTATTATAGGCTTGCAAGGTCAAGTTACATAAGTTTGTACTTTCCAAGGAAGGTCAGGTTAGCAACACACAACACATGCATCCACCCAGGGAGTCAGCGCACATACGTGTTGAGGGAATTGGAATTCTCTACTGCAAGAGCTTTATACACACGCGCGCGCGCGCACACACACACACACACACACACACCCCTTTCAATAATTGAAAGATTAAAGCCAGAAGCAAGCAGATACACTGGGAGTTGGCTGAGCCCGTGAGCACGAAGTCTGTGTGAGGGGCTGGACTATCCGCAAGACTGACGAGAGCACGGGAGAATCTCACCGGTGCCGGCAGGAGCCAGGGTTTCTGAGCCCAGCACCATTAAGCCAGAAGCTGCTGAAAACTTACGAAGCTAACTAGAGCACCCCTGTGTTGACAAACTAAAAGAATGAATCTAAACGACTTGGGAATCAAGCATTCTTAGAATAGAAATGAGAAAATGCGCAAGTGCACTAGAACAAGCCTCCCGCCAGCTCCTCAGGACTGAGGACAGCTGGGGGTCACTCCTGGGGGATGGGGACATTGACCGGAGTGTCAGAGACCGCACAGCCCTGGAGGGGTCAAGGAGATCCCAGCTGAGCGAGCGCAGTGCTGGGCAGAGGGTGGAGGAAGGGGCGGCAGACAGCGATGGGGACAGGCTGAGGTGGTCAGAGCCCTCCCAGGACTCAAGGGAGCCCCAGGAGGAGGCTGGCTGGTGTGGGGTGGCTTGGCTCCGGTGGAGGTACCACAGAGGAGGGGAGGCCCCACCAGCGTTTTGAGCCCAGCAAGCTCCAAACAAAGGTTCCCCACAACCCGCACTGGTGTTTGCAGTGCCCACTGCTCCACGGGAGGGGCCGGGCCAGAGACCAGGTGGCCACCAGGCTGCAGCTGCACTTCTGTGAGTCCTGCTCAGGGCTGCCCACCTGGCCATGGTGAGCACCCACTTGGGCTTCCCAGGAGCCCACCTACTTTGTCCTCCCTGGGAATATACTAGGGACCCAAGTCCTCATGTCCTGCTCCTGGAGCCAGGCCCAGGCAAGCGCTTCACTTCATCCACACGCCAGAAGCACCACCAACCCAGCTCTGGGGAGCTCTGTCCCCAGGTGCCCGCTGCTGGGTTCAGGGGGTGAGAGCTGCCTCTTGGGCGTTCCCCACCCCAAGCGGCGCATTGCCTTTGCAACGGAACCTGGAAGGGGAAGGGAACCAAGAAGCCAAGAAAGAACAAGTCCGGGAAAACCGGGGCCCCCGCAGAGCAGCCCTGGCCACGCCTCTGCCCTGGTGGACCCCATCCACCGCCTTGCAGTGAGCCGAGCCTGGCCAGGCAGAAGGCACGAGGTCCGAGGACACTGCCTGGGGTCACTGGGGGCAGGGTAGACCCCTCAGATCTGTCCTCAGGAGCTGGGCGGGAGGGTCCCCAGCTCGCGAGCGAGGGCTCCTGCTGCCGGGCCGCCTGGGAACTGCAGCAAGCGCCGCGGCAGCGGTGGAGGTGGCGATGCGGCGGGGGCGTCTGGCTTCCCCGAGTCCGGCCCGCCCAGTGCAGAGGCGGGGGGCGGCGCGGAGCCAGAGGCAGCCGCGCCAGACCGCGCCACGCCGGGAGCTCTCGGGAGGTGGCCGGTGCTCTGCAGGTCAGTGTCCTCCGGGTCTTCCCGCAGCCTGTCCGGGGTCGGCAGCACAGCCGAGAGCCCGGGGCACAGGAAGACCCGCTTGCCCCAGGGCCGGGTTCCCCTTCTGGAGGGTGCAGACCCTGAGGGGCGGGACCGGCGGACCGCAGGCTCGGGGTCCCCGCACTCACCTCGGCTGTAGAGGACGCCCAGGGCCACCAGGGCACCCGTCATCAGCAGGAGCAGGAGCAGCAGACCGCTCCCCAGGAAGCCTCGGCGCTTCTGCGCTGCCCGGCAGGCTGTGTCCACCGTCCCCTCGGGGCTTTCCGGCCTCCCCATCGCGGGCTCTGCGCGGAAGGTGCACAGCTGAGCGTCGCAGGCTGCAGCAGGCGAGGTGGCGGGAGCTGCGGCTGGTGTTCTGGGGACACTCAGTCCCTGTCTCCCCTTCCAAGGCCAGAGCCCCAGCCGCGGGTGCCTGGTTCTCCGGCTCTCACACTCGCCCTGGGCCAGAATCTCCAAGTGCCCAGGGGGCGCCCGGGGGCGGGAGGGAGGAGGCCTCTCCAGCCATGGTGCAGGCTGGTCTCAAGGTCAGCTTCTCTTGGTCCCCTTGCTGCTCACAGCCAGGTCCGCAGAGGGACCAGAAGGCTCCACTCCTGTGCTGTCCAGGGACCTCTGCGGCGGGGCCACCTGAGCTGCTTGTGCCCCGGGGGTGCTGGAGCCACAGGCCTGGCCACTTGGTCAGGGATGCTGCCCGGGAGGCAGCAAGGGCTGCTAGGCTCCGTCTGTCTGTCCTGTTGGAGCCCAGGTGCTGCGAGAAGACAGAGAGGACCTGCACCTCTCAGTGGTGACCATGAGCACCAGGAAGGGACAGGCAGGACCTGGCAGCCTGAAGTCCAGCCCCGGAGCTACCTGGCTGGAGTGCATCTTGTCACTACAGAGGGCACACCGTCCTGAGCCAACCTGGCAGCAGGCAGCGGTGGAGGACTCCTTGGGGACAGGGAGGTGCTGGGGTCCCTGCTGTGGCGCAACAGGGACCTGCAGACTCTGAAGGCTTTCGATCTGAGTGCCTGTGAGTGCACTTGTGTGCAGGTGTGAGTGTGCACACAAGTGCTCGCATGTATTTAGTGGGTAGGCATTAGGTGCGTGTGGATAAGCACACACGCCTGTGTGTGTGCACCTGTGCCCCTGTGTGTGGGTGGGTGTGTGAGCCCAAGCGTGTGTCCCTGAGAGCTGCCGGGCACTGTTCTGAATGCAGAGCGAGGCAGGTACATTCTGGGGTACCTAGTAGTGAGTCCTGTGACCCATGGACGGCTGGGTTCTATGTTCCTCCCCTGTGCCTCCTGGGCTCTGCCTGGGCTCTGCCCAGCTCATGGGGTTCTCAGGTGCATCTTTTCCCTGCCTGGGCACCACCTGCCTTGCAGCCCCACTTGAGGGGAAGCTGGAAACTGCTGGCCACCTGTCTCCTCGGTTCCCCAGCAGGGTGCCGACAGGGCTGGGGCCTGGCCCTGTGCCCCTCTGCTGCCCCCTCAGTCTCTTGATCAGCAGGGTCACCTGTCCAGTACCTGCAGCCGTGGAACTCCCACGAGGGCGCCCCCAGATGACCCCATCTCCCAGTTGCCGATGCCAAACTCTGGAGCCACCCTGGACTCCTCCTGTGACCCCATGTCCATCCAGTCCTGAGGCCCCAGTTCTCTGGGTCTGACATCCTCACATTTCTGCCCCCAGTGCCTGCTCCAAGCCCACTATCCACCCTGCAGCCCCCTACACTGTCCCCAGCCTCTCCTGAGGGGTGCCTAAGCAGGGAGTGCCACTCCCAGGTCCATGGCACCTGCACCTGCTGGAGGAGTGGCTGGACCTTGCTCTCGCCTCAGGATGAGACAGTGCTGACTGCCACTGCCCTGTGGGCACGGCCTCTTCAGAGCTCCTCTGTCAGGACCCCACCTCTGCTCCCTCTAGGTCGCCTTGCTGGGGGGGCTTCCTGGGAGGCTTCTGGGTGAACTGAAAAGGCCTCAGCCTCTCTGCTGCACCCCCTGACAGCCTCAGGTCCTGTCTCCACTCTCCCATGAGGCTGATGCCTCTAGGGGCAGGAATTGGTCCGTGGGTTCTGCACTTGACTAGCGCCTGCCCCCAGGACATCCCTACACCTGCCAAAGGAGGTGCCAAGGGAGGCACTCGTGAGTTCCATGCCAGGTGCCCATCCTAGGATGTCATTCATGTATTCTGCCAGCTCTCTTTGCTCTGTCCTGCAGGTTCCCCTGGACTTCTGTGGACCAGGGACACCTGCAGTGAAACACTTCAGATGGAGCCAGGTGACCTGAGCAGAGGCAGCAGGCTTGCGTGCCAGGCTCCATGGTGGCTGCACCCTGCCAAGGCTGGGCCCTGGCAGCCATGGTCCCCACTGCCTGAGATGGTTCAGACATCTTTCTGGCTTGCTATGCAAGGGGAGAGGTGGATTAGGCCACCCGGGAAGTGCCTCCCGGGCCCTGCAGGATGTGAGCTGGCCTCCGGTGGGTGTCTTCCAGGAGCTGCCCAGTACAGCACGGCAGGCCCTGGCCCAGCCCACCACGTCTTTCTCACCTTTCAGTTCCTGGAGAGCAGCAGCTGCCACCCACAGCAGGGCCCTGCAGGCTGGCTGGGCGGTCCTGGAACTGGGGGAGGTGCAGATCCAGGGGTGGGCTGCGGTCCAGGAGAGCGCAGCAGGAGGTGGGGTTGAGCTGTGAGGTCACGCTGGGCTGCTTCCGGGCTTCTTTGTGATGCAGGCTGCCTGGAGGCAGTGACCCTCACACAGGAGTTCCATGGGGAGCAGGTGGGGGAGGGGTCGCCCAGGGCGCTGCCCAGGCCCTTTCCTGATGCACCCCACCCACCTGGCCAGGAGATGCTGCCCAAGGGTCCTCCCTCTTCCTCTGCAACAGGGTGATGGCTTGGGGTCTCTGTGAGTGGAGAGGGGATTCCTGCTCCCAGCGGGCAAGCAGGGCTGCAAGAGCTGTCCTCACTCAGTGCCAGCAGCCCAGATCATCTTGTTTGGGTCCAGGGTCTGGGCAGAGAGGGCCTGTACAGAAACGCAGGTGTCCCCTTCTCCAGCCCCGCCCCTCTTGTGTTCAGATCCCGTGTGGCAGGTCCTCCTGCCCTCGCCCAGGCTGGGCTCTGTGAGGGGTCTGGGTGGGACCAGGCCAGAGAGCCAGGGGTCATGGGGCCAGCAGTGCCCGCATCAGAAACTTCCAGTCCACGCTCAGAGGGCCTCTGCTATTGGGCCTTAGACTTGCTGTCACTTTCTGGGGGAGCTGGGAGTGGGCCAGGGCCCTGCTGGGCTGCTTGGGGCTCCCTCCACGGGCTCTGAGCCTCCAGGCCAGCCCCGCGCCTCTGCTCCCCACCCCACGCCTGCCCCTGCCCAAGGCCACCTGGCCACCTGGGACCCAGACGCTGGCCCATCACTGAATGCACTTTTCCTCCCAAGCTTGGGGCTGCCCTTCCCTAGTGGAGACATGAACCAGAGGCCAGGGACCCTGGCCTGGCACCTAGCAGGGCAGCGAAGCCTGGAGAGGGGGGCTGCAGGCCCAGTCCTGACCAGGACCTCAGGACAGTGTCCACGAGGTCACACATGGCACACGTAGCTGTACCAGGGCCCAGGGCTGTGGCTCAGCACACCGAGGGTGGACGGGTGGACGCTAACCCTCGCTCCTGGAGGAGGTGGGGTAGGGGAGGAGCAGGGGCTTCCTCGCACCCTTCCTTCTGGCAGCAGCCATGAGGTGTAGATAGCTGTAGCCCAGGGTCTGAGGAAGTGACCGTGATGTGGGGAGGGATGCTGTCACCTCAGTGCCAGGACTGGTGCGTGGGTGTGTCCCCAGGGTCCCTTCCCTCAAGGTGTGGGCCAGGCTGGCCTCCAGGCCCTGAGCCCTGCGCTGCCTCCTGCAGCTGGGCCCTGTGCAGCCTTGACCAGAGGGGGTGGCTGTACCTCGGCACAGAGCCACAGCCCAGCCCCAGTACACAGCAGTCACATCAGCCCTCACTGGTGAGAGGGGCTTTGTAGACTTGTCCAGCAGTCAATCCCAGGAGAGGGGTGCATTCAGCGCCACACCAGGGCCTGGGCACTTGAGGCGAGGTGGATGCCCGGGGTCGTCCGACAGGCGTCGTGCCATCCTCAGAACTTTGCAGCTGCTGCACCCAGGTCCTCTGGGTGTTTTTGCCCCAATACAGTCAGCCACTTTGTAACGGACTCGTGCTCCTTCACGGTGAATGGGCGCCTTGGGTTCATGGTGTGGTGTCTGCCTCCCAGGGGGCCTGACCCCTCAGACACCAGTGGGAAGAGTGGCCCAATGTCTTCAAGAGGGGAGAGGGTCATCAAGGGCGTCCTGGGGCCTGACCTCAGGGCCAGCTCCTCCTCACTGGAAATGGGGACCAGTGGCATCACAGGCTTTCTGTGACAGTGACCTGGAGGGCCGTGGGCTGCCCCATTGCTTGCCTGTGGCTTCAGCAGGTGGGAGTGACAAGCTCAAGGCTCTGGACTCCCAGGGCTGTCGCCTGCCACCCACAGGAGCCCCTGGCTTCCTGCAACCTCGGTGCAGAGACTGCTGAATGGCTGCAGACCTCTTGCCTGATTCCAACGTGGGGGGACTCAGTCATACCAAGTTCTTGCGAGAAGTCGGGGTGCTGATTTGGAAGGAAGGGGACCCTGAACCATGGAATGACGGCATCTCTTGTCTGAGACCAAGCTGAGGATTCTGAATCCCTAGCCTCTGAGCTCCTGGCGGAAGCGGTGTATTCCCAAAGTCTGAGCTTCCCCAGACCCTCCACACACCTGAGCCAGGTGCCAAGGAGGCCCAGGCCTGTGTCCCATGGCCACCTGGTGGTGCCAGACCATGTGCTCCCAGCCTCGGAGGAAACGGCTTTTGTACCAGCAGACAAGGCCCAGGGGGCTGGGCAGCGGGCGGGGTGGGCTTGTTAATGTAGTGGCCTGAAGCGTGGTCTGATCTCACTGACCAGCCTGTGCTTGGCTGGGGGAGTCTAGATTCGTAGGACCACGTTTACTGAGGCAGAAGGCCTCGACTTTCCCTGGCAGAGGAAGACATCGAACCCGGGCTGCCTGTCTGGGCTGCTCCCCTGGACATGCCGAGGCAGCTCCTCTGCCTTCAGCAGACCTGGGAGCAGGTCGGGCTGCCCAGGGAGCTGGGCCCTGAGACGTCCCCCAGGCACACTCTGGTGTCCAGGACCCTTCTGCTGAACCCGAGGGGTCATGATTCTGAGGCTTGCACAGGCCAGAGGCAGTGAAGCCCAGCTGGGCCCAGGGGACAGGGCGCCCAGGCGGCGGGGACTCAGCCCTCGACCTCAGGGGCCTGCAGGCAGGGCAGAGGTGGTGCCCACTGCATGCAGCTACCGCTGGGTGGCTCATCAGCGGCAGAAATCTCTCTGTCCCATCGTGTCCTTGTGTTGTAGAAGGGGCAAGGGTTGCTCTGGGGTTTGGTTTGCAATACTGGCAATCAAAATCAGGGCCTCACACATGCTAGGCAAATGCTTGTACCTTGGAGCTACACACCCAGTCCTTTTGATTGTGAGATAGTTTTTCAGGCTAGCTTTGAAGTTGAGATCCTCTTGCCTCAGCCCCTCGAGTAGCGGGGGTTAGAGCTGGCACCACTATGTCTCATTTCTGGGGTCTCAAAGGTGCACACCCCATTCCTTAGGCCCTGATCACCTCCCGAAGCCGACTACCTCCATCCTGGTGTGGGTAAGAAGAGCAACATCTGGATTCTGGGGCTGCAGGAAGGTGCCAGGTGGGCGAGGCTGGCCAGGCCCTGCAAGATGAGCTGTGGATGGCATGCTGTTCCGAGGGGACAGGAAGTGTGCACAGGCCGGGGGTGGGGAGCTCTGGAGGTGATTCAGCTGGATGGGCCGCTGCACACTTGGTGTGGCCAGCTCCCCAATGTCCCTGCGTGGACCAACAGGGCAGGACACCCCAGGTGGGAGGACCCAGAGCAAGGCACAGGGTGGGAGGGCGCCCCCAGGGGCTGCTGGCCATCTCTTCCTGCTTTCCTGCAGCTGGTGGGGGTTGGGCCTTGCTCTCAGCCCTGGCCCTCCAGCTCATGCCCACCTGAGTTCAGAACCCATGAGTCTCCAAACGTAAGCTCATGACTCTGTGTCCCTACACCTGGCATGCCCCTGGTCCCTGGGGCCGTTGGCAAATGTTTCATGACCCACTGAGTGCAGATGGAGACAGAAGGGGGAACAGGGATGGATGGGTGGAGTGATGTGGTAAGGAGTGGGTGCACAGGGAAGGGAGGGGACACTGGGCTGAGCACCCACCGGGGCCTCTGCCCTCTGGGCTCCTGACCCCTGTCCTCGAGGTGGGAGACATGAGCCCTTGCCTCCCCCTTTTAGGTCTGACAGGTCTCAGATGGCACTGGCTGGGTAAGAACAGCAGAGGCTGAGGATGCCCTATGGGGTGGACCATGGGAGTGGTGGAGCCTGGACAGGGAGGAGGCTGCCAGCACTGCCGGGAAACTCCTGCTTCTGCCCAGGGGCAGGAGGGTGGAGGCCACTTCTGCCATGGCCCAGATGGCCTGTGTGTCCCCAAACTGAGCTCATGACTGTGTCCCTAAACCTGGCATGCCCCCTGGAGTGCTCCCAAGGGTGAGCAGGGGTGTGACGGCAGCTGGGTCATGACTATGGGAGGAAGGGGCACCAAGGAGAGGAGGGGGCACCTGGGCGAGGAGGGGGCGGCTAGGAGGAGGTGGTACCTAGGCGAGGAGGGGGTGGCTAGGAG